ATTTTCTTCTTATTTTAGTATTTTATTGATTATCACTTTTCCAAATTTATTGTTTTCACATCAATCCATTATAGGAACCAACTCCTCTTCAATGAGTTAATTGAGGGTTGAAGATGATAACATATTGATTTGAAAAACTCTGAAAGGCGGTCCTCAGGAGAAATCATGTTTTGTTGCATTACTGGCTGTGCGGCATAGGCCTGCAAAAGCAGCGGCAAAGTTGGTACACTTACTCCTTGAAAAACCGGCCCGAAGGCTGGTTTTTCAGGAAAATCTTTGCTAATTGGGTGTGGAGGTGTTGTTGTTAGGGTGAATCGACTCCCCAAATGATCATTTGCAACCCTGAAGTCTTGGTAACTAAAACTCAATGTTACCAAGGGGACCAGTAACAACCCCGGTCTCATTTCAAGTCACTCTGAACGGTTATAAGGCTCACCCCACTGCCCTTCACCCGCTTGCTCCCTCATCCTCATTTTCACTAGACATTATTGCATTGTTGATTCGTGTAACCAAGAAGAAACGGAACTGTTATGCTATATCAACAACTTCAAACCTACATCCTACTCTATCAACTCTTCATCGAATCTGCCTTTTCGCTTTCAAACTTGGACAGTTGTCCAATACCGTGTCCAACAAACGCCAACATCGGTTTTTGTACAAATCGACCGTCCAAGAGGAGCTGTGCATACAAAAGCTGTGTCGGTGTCTCTCTTCGGCTACCAAACTGTTCAATCGCTTCATATACCCCCAGCCTGCTGTTTGCAAATCCATCACCAACTTTTCTGTCTCTTGTCCATTCATCCGACCCGCTTCTGATGCACCAAAGATCTGTGGCCCAGGGGTCAGATACACACCTTTGCACACAACCTCCACCATCTGCAGGATTGAGTAAGTAGATTGCATGTACTCCTCCATTGTCATAGGTGAGGAATTCTTCGCAAACTCCCGCCGATTTTGAATCTTCTTCATTACTTCCACCATCTGCTTCAACGCTGATCGCCCCGATGTCTCGGCCTTTGTCTTGAGTCGCAGTTGATCATTACATCCCCAGACGCACTTGTAACCAGCTCGGCGCTCTCTTGAATGGTGGGGCACGTGCAGAACTGTTTTCGGCACGAACCATCAAAACAGTTGACTGCAGATGCTGTTGCAACAAGCGGAGTGGTTTGGGTGAGGGCGGACCGGCGGTTAGAGTTACAGGCTCTTTTTTCAGGTCCCTCACTCATTGAATTTCCTTCGGTATCACCAACTCCGCGTTTGTGTGGCCTAGGTAGCGGTCTGAGTATGTCAATTTCACTATCTGACGTGGGGAACAGAATCTGAATGTCGTAGTCGATCTCGTCTGTAGCAGGAAGATGCTTTGCATCCAATCTGTTGCCGATTCCTCCGGCACTTTCAACAACCATCATCCGTTGCTCTCGTGCAAGGAAATACATGTGCTTGCAGGCACTTCCAATCTGTGTGTAATGCTCACATGTGCAGCTGGTGAGTTGCCCTTTGTAGCAATTATGTCTGTGGGTGTACGATACAGAGTACAATTTTGACTCTGGGTTGGTGAATGAGTTTATTGTAAACTACAACACAGATATTCTTGTATTAGCTTATTGAACATGGTCCAAGGAAATAAATATGGTCGTAGTGAGAAGCAAGAAACTTACATGAGTTAGGGTCTTGTTCGACTTTATGCCAAGTAATTCCATGAATTCAGCAGAGTATCCATCGGCTGTTGCCTTGGCACGACGTTGGAATTTGTTGCTGGTCTGCCTGGCAAAACCATCCTCAACCTGAGCTTGCTTCCATCTATAGCTGGACTCGACCTTCTCAACAAGCATCTTGACGACTTCATCTATCCGTCGGCGTTCGTTTGTAGAGATGAATTTTGACTTCAAAACACGATGCCAGGCTTCTGTGTAGTTGTTGGTATGTATGCCCTGGTGTGCGGTCTGACATATCATTGTTAGCTGGATGCAGTAGTTCAGATTAGTAAGTGGGAAACTAACAGTTCGATAGTAGATAGCCCAGTGCCTTATCCTCGTTCCCCACTGGGTTTGTACATAGCTTACAAACCCAGGACTGATAATGTGCCACTTGGCCATGTATGTGTTCAACAGTGGTATTGGGTGGGCCTGACTGTACACAACTGAACGAAACTCGTTGAACGCCTCCTCTGAACGATCGCGCACATATGTATTGATCTGGCCTTTGAATGCCTTCAGGACATGGAACAAGCACCAATAGTGTTTTGGTGCTTTTTCCAACAAGTCGTGATATACATGCAAGACTGCATTGGCAATGGCCAAAGCACAGTCACTCATCACTGACTGAGGAATGATGCCGGTTGTGTCTCTAAGCCATTGTAGGATGATTGCAAGAGGTTTCCTAATGGACAATAATCAAGTCGGTCAGTGATCAATGTGTACAATGAGAAAGTCTGCTGTTGCTTACTCGGCAGCGGAGGCAGTAAAGGCCCAAGCAATAGGGAGGCCTTTGCCCACTATGGGATCACGGATCAGGAATGTGTACAGGTAAACCTTCTTGCCGTTGGAGAGAAAGTAGTTGTTGACAGTGTTGTGTGTAGCATCAAGCATGAGCATGCTTCTGCCATGTTCGATGAGCATTTGCTTTTGCCATGGTGACTGGAAAGCAAACACAAAATCGGAGGAGTCGACAATGTTGACATGTGTGTTCCAGTTTCTGGAAATCAGATTGACATGCCACATTGATAGTGACTGGAGAGGGTCACGATTGAGTTGAGAGGGAATAGTCCTCCGAGTTTGAATGAGGTAGCGGACCCGGTCGTAAGTGACACCATGAGCCTCTGGCTTGACAGTAGACGACCTCAGCTGAGAGACAAAGGAGAATTCTCAGTATATATAAGATGACACGGTCACATGAGGAAGCATGATTACTCACATCCCACACATCATCAACCTGAGTGAGATCGTAAATCTCTTTCCATGCAAGACCTGAGTCCACTCGGTCCTTAACCCACTGATCAACTACAAGTGGTGGTCGGGTGATGAGCATTTGATGGTGAGAATTGAGGTTGTGGTTGTGTTGCCAATGCCATGTCACTCGCAGGGTGTTTGATTGGATGTGATGAGTGATGGAGAATCGAGCTTTGCATCCACAGCGGGCTGATACATGATTCTTCTTGCGCGAGTTGGGGGTCCCTTTGCAAAATCCACTGCATGGACACTGATACTCCAGCTTGAAATATGCCTCGGGATGGCGGCCACTGCCATGTGATCTGGTCGACTTCTGGGTTGAGGAAGGGGTGCGTCTCTGTAGAGTCCATCGAACTGTTGCGGTCATCGCCTTGACAAATTCCTCTGCCTCCGACTTCGAGTGGCCAGGGATTGTGAAGAGGTAAGGGTGGGTTGGAAAGGTTGGACTGGCACCCCCAAGGTTTCTAACTAATCTAAGGCTGTTTGGAGCAGACGAGACCCCTACAGCGGCAGTTATTTCTTGGGTATGGGGGCGTGGAACGACTTCATAGATGTCTTGAACAAGCGGATAACCGAAAGCAGAGGGAGTGATGGTAGCTGGAGCCATGGAACCGGGTAGGATTAAGACGTAGTGGTAATTTGTTTAAGTTTAAGCAAGGAAAGAATGCCAATGCAATTAAAAATGCGATGAAAAAATCAAGCTAAACTCAAAAGGTCAAGATTGTTGTTTAAGCCAAGAGGAAAGAAAACCCGAGAAAAAAAATGGGGTATTAACACTGGAAGTGAGGAAGCACGCAGCGTAAAGAAAGAGTGGGTAGAGATCAAGTTTCGGAGTTGGTTGAAGTTCCACGTGTAGAATAATAATTTGGGGGAAAAAGGCTATTAAAGGTTATTATAAGGGTGATGTGTAATAATGAAAAGTTAGGAGAAATAAGCAATGGGGCCTGAACAAACTGAACACAGGAAGAGTTGGGGGTCACGTTATAAGTAAATTTTATGCCCTGGTAAGTGATGTACTTTGTCAAATTTTGCTTGAATTTTGGCTATGAGACGGTAAGACTTTCAGGAAGGGAAGTCCGGTCCCATGGGCTCATCTTTCCCATCCAGGGATTTCCAGGACTTCCAAAAACATTCATGTCAGGTTCTGTTTTTGGATTTTTAATTTTAAATTATGGGTGGGTGGGTCAATCCCCCCACAAACCGACTATCATGCGGGATGTTTCAATTCTCGCCTTGTGAAATGTCCCCAGATTAGTAAAAAAAAGTCCTCGGAGGGGGAAGTCTTGTCTACGGTACCAACTGATCAAAAGCTCAGTGTTGGAATTCAGCTGTCGTCGTTCCATTTCCTTCTTCTCTCTGTCTTGCCAGTGTCACTCCTTTCCTCCATCTGTCACTCCTTTTCCTCTCATTTCCAGATGAATATTCATTTTTCCTCTTCTGTCCCACAACTCAGCCATAACATGTATGTAGTTAAATAGCCATGATTTCTGAGTTAGAAAATGAAAAACATCTGTTCTCTGCGCCAGTTCCCTGAGACCACTAATACAGTCTCTTGTAGTGAGTTCGCTTTTCCGTCTCACAAGCTAGCAGCTTAACCCTCATATAGGGTTCTTCGACCTTGTTTGTTTCTCTCTTCGGAGTTCTTCTTTCTGGTCGCTTCCCCCCTTCTCTCAGCTCTCAGTAAAATTCCATCACTCAGACCATCAAATAAAAGATTGTTGCGTCTGGACAAGCTCGACGAAATCTAGTCTTGGCTTCGGTACGCTCATGAGCTTGCCGCTTGGTGTGGCCGGAAATCCTTACGGCATTTCCTGTCTACATAACCTTCATCCAGGACGAAAGCACTTAATTTACAGCGGTATTTGAAAAGGCACGCCAGTTAAGACTCAAAATTAAATGAATCTTGCATCACTCATCTGAGACGGAGTCTGAGCTGACAATAAGGTGTTGACTCTGATCAGGAGTGTCACATGGCTGAGCTCGCGAGTGAAAGGTGCTGTGACATAAGCGCGCTCGACATTCGTTTTACTTTCAGCTGTGAGTTTTATATGTAACGAGGCCAACTTAAGTCAGCTAAACCCCATGAAATTCGATAAACTTGCCAGGCTCAAATGTTAGACGAACATCCCAGGACGCGACAGCTTATCACCCTCCTCTCCAGTGTTTCGATTTCATTGAGCGCCGGAACTAATTGTGAGTTGATTGTGGATCCTGGTCCTAAGGATATGTATCTGTGCTGATGGTCGAGTATTGTTTAAACAATGTTAGATGCATTTTCGATTTATTCGGTCCAACTTGGACACAAGCTCCATCTCTCGGCCACCTCGCTGAACGTGATTGGTCTGGCGGGCAACCTGGGCATGTACATCTCGTCGCCCTTCGTGGGCCGATACATCGATCGATATGGCCCGACGATACCCTTACTAGGAGCCGGGACGTTGATCTCGTTGGGCTACGGCTTACTCTGGCTCTTGTTCACCCAGCCGAGTCTACCGTTGGTGGTCGTCCAAACCTTGATGGGAAACCTGTTCGCCGGCCTGGGCTCTTCGATCGCCAACAGCTGTGCCATCACCGGCACCGCATCCGTCTTTGCGCCCTCCCATCGAGCCACGGCCATCGGCACCGTCCTGGCCGGATTCGGCCTCTCTGCCTTCTTCTGGACGACCATCGGCTATCATATCGCAAAGTCCGACACTGCCGTCTTGCTGGGCCTCTTGAGCATCGGCCCCTCTTTGGCCATCCTTCTCGGCGCATCTGGTTACGTGCTCATGGGCATCGGCTGTGATGATCGTCAGACCTCCCCCTCCTCCCAAGACCAACCATGCACATCCCATTCTCGCCAATCTACCGAAGATACTCAGCTCTTACCGCTCAAGAAACAGACTGATATCACCGGCTGGGCCTTGGTCCGAGAGCTGGACTTTTGGATGATTTGGCTCGTCATGAGTTGCTGCTGTGGTATTGGTCTGATGATCATCAATAACCTGTTAGTAGTATTCTTTTCTTTTTTTTTTTTCTGGCTAGCTTTTCCCACCAGCTTTTATTGGTCACAATGACTGAGCAAAGGGGTGTGTCTGTGCAGAGGTACGATGTTGGTTGCTATTTATGGACCCACATCACCGGACAGCTCAGATCAGACCGTCAGATTATACCAAGCACATGCCGTCTCGATCTTATCGATCTTTAACTGTTTTGGCCGAATCTTTGCGGGGACGTTTTCGGATCTGTTGAAGCGTGGACTCTCGATTGGGCGTGTATGGTGGTTGTGCTGGATCTCGAGCCTGTTCCTGCTGAGTCAAATCTTAGGATACTTTGCGGTCTCCGAGCTGGATCACGTGGTTTGGCTGGGCGGTCTGGTCGGATTTGCGTATGGGAACATGTACGGTGCCGGGCCCGCATTGGTGCTCGAATGGTTCGGCCTCAAACACTTTGCGACCAACTTTGGATTCCTGAATCTGGCCCCATTACTCTGTGGACAGATCTTCAATCTGAGCTTTGGGAGGATTTTCGACCATCATTCTCAGCATTCCTCGGACGCAGAGGATCGTCATTTGATTTGTCTTGACCGTCGAGGCTGTTATCAGGCCGCGTTCCTCATCACTATCTGTGGCGCGCTGCTCTCCTTATCACTATCGATCTCACTCGGCTTCAGACGCCCTGAATTTATCTCGCAATCCAAATCGAACTCGAACTTCAGAAGGACTCATGAGCACGATGGTGATGATGACGGTGAATCTGCACCTATCCTCAGATCATCCACAGAAGACCTTTGAGATTCCTTTACATCTTCCTTCCTATTTCTCTCTGTATTTAGACACTGCACTCCAGGACAGCCGCAATATCTCTTTATCCCCTATCACCCAAGCAACTTTTCTCTTTACATCTATCAGTTATCCCAGACCACTCTGAGTGTCTCGATTGTTCTTCTACGTTCCAGCTTGTATTAAATTAGAAATGTCTCTGATCTATCATTCTACATTTTCTTCTTCTCATCATGCTCATCATTATTATTCATATTGCTACCCAAGTGCAATCGTCGGAAGTTCAAATTTGTATATGTAGTATCCAGTTTTGATTGATGTTGTTATTTGTAGTTAGACTCTTATTTGGATAGATTCCCGTCTGTTTCAGATTCAGATCAAGTTTCCTTTACGTTTTTTTTTTGTGAAAGAGTAAGATGTCCATGTCTGCTTTGTACACATTCCTATTTGCAATTTTAGTGTCAAGGCGGTGGCTATCACCGATCGATGATGGTCGAATTGATTTTGATCGATTGGGAGAGCAAGTTCGACAGCCTCCCATGTTATTTTGTTTATGTACGCGATTCCGACCAATGTTTGTTCTTTTGAGGCTATACTTGCCGAGTACAAGTAGTTCAGTCAGTGTACCGATCGGTGCTGTTTTGAAGTGGTCTTTGGAAATATGTAAGCTTGGCTGAGTCTATGCAGCTGGCCCGACTGGGAGAGTTGAGGATCAGACTAATCAAGCATTTTCTCAAGCCAACCAACCAACCAACCCCAGCACAAGACATCTCAAGAGAAACCACCACTGAACTGCATCAAAAAACCAAACAAGAAACGACGAACGAAGAACATAAATAGACATGGAGGAATCAGACAGGATAGCAGTCGCTGCCTCCAGAGCACTCCAGCAGATCAGCTCATCAGCCCATGCACGATCACTACCAACAACACCCAGACCACCACCACCACCAGCAGCAGCTGCTGCCAGCTCAGAACAACAGGATGAGATCCTAGACATCTTCATGTCCCCAGACAAACCCAAGTCAAGACTAAGACAACGAGCCGAGAACAGTGCTAAGAAGTTCAACCCCAAGAAACCAATCCTCGAGACAGACAATAACCTCACCGAACACGTCAGTCTCCTTACTATACTAATAATACTCTCTCCACATACTCAAAAATCATACACATCCAGTTCGTCCTCAATCTTGGCATACCCAGCAAACCCACACCCGACCCAAAAGCACTCGCCGACTACAAACCACCAACGAGGCGCTCGATCGGACCCCGTCGGTCATCTGTCGTCTCCAAGAGAGCCAGCAGTCCCACCAAATCACCCAAACCACCCATCGAGCTCCTACTCGACGACCTCGACATCCTCGATCGATCTCGAGCCAGCAAGAGCCCATTCGAACCTAAGAAACCAGTACCGCAATCGACACCCAAGACTCGCTCGAATCCCACCAAGAAATCAACCACCAGTCGATCCAAAATCACAACCAAGGCTCGTCGTTTGACCACTCAAGATATCCCATCTTACCAGGAGGATAATCATCATCAAAAGATTCCCAAAACATCCATCCCCAGTATGGACTGTCACGGCTCTGATTCATGTCTGGCAGATCAAGCCCAACCAGCCGATCACCATTCGGATTGCTCTAGTGATTCGTTTGACGCCAACATCTTAGTAGTCCAGCCCAAAACAGAAGAGCTAGCACAAGAAGATTCAATCATCATCAACCCCGTCAGACCGGCAACGCGCACCCGAGCTGGGATCAAACCCAAACGAGTGATTGCAGACAGTGAAGAAGAAGAAGGAGGTGAAGCTAATGAGGATAGCCGGTCTCTCGGCTCGACCTCATTCTCGTCATCAAAGTCCCCTAGATCCTCTACCAACAAGGCTCCGCCGCCTCGTCGTAGCCAACGTAAAAGCTCTATAAGAGCCAGTCATAGCCAGCAAAAATCTTCAGCTGTCAACGAAATCATCGATGTCGAGAGTGATGATTCGATCGAGTATGTCCCCAGTTCATCCCACTTGTCTCCACTCCTTATAACCCGTTCTTTAACCGTCAATTTTATAACTTTATTTACAGGATCAATCCTTCTCGAGCCCTTCAATTCCAAAAACTTCGCTCACAGGCGCTCACGACGGGTAGCTATTCAACCAGGTCAGAAAGAGACTTTCATCATTTGTCTAGAAAGTAGATGGGATGCTAATCTTGTTTTGTGTGTACGCCTTTTCCACAAAACAAATAGTTGCGATCCTTTAAATGGATCGATATCACAAAAAAGCCGTCAAAGTACCGATGCAATCGCCCTCCAAAACAATCGGCGTTTGGTGATAAGTAGTGATGAAAGTTCAAGTGGTGAAGATGATATCCAACTCAAACAGGAAGATAACCCTTCTGAGTCTTCTCCAAAGCCGATTCCAGGAAACAGAAGACTCCAGGTCATCAGTAGCGATGACGATAAAGAAGAAATCCAAATCAAGTCCAATGATAATCGTACCAAGCCTTCCCCCAAACCAATCCCTGCAAACAGGAGACCTCAGGTCATCAGCAGCGATGAGAGTGGCGATGACCAAATCCAAATCAAATCTCAAGATACTTGTCCCACGTCTTCTCCAAAACCGATCCCAGGAAACAGAAGACGCCAGGTCATGAGCAGTGATGAAAGCTCGAGCGGCGAAGAAGAAATCCAAATCAAAGTAAAAGAGAATCGTCCCAAGTCTTCCCCGAAACCGGTCCCAGCGACCGAGAGCGACAAACCGAAGGCCAAGGCAGGAGAGGGAGGAGGGACATCCAAGAGCCGAGGTACTCCGACGAAAAAGCCAACAAAGTCAACCGCCAAGACGCTACCGAAGAAAGACCTGGCGTCGCTTCCGTTTGTCGAAGTCCGAGAAGAGATGGCCGAGGAGTTGCTGGTCGAGCTGAACAGGAAGGTCTTCGGCCGCAAGCTGCCGCCCATCGAGCTGTTCTGGAGCAAACGCTTGAATACTACCGCCGGCAGAGCTCATTACGTCCACGTGACAGATGCTCTCGGCAACCGCGTCCCCCGCGCTAGGGTCGAGTTGGCCTCCAAGGTCGTCGACGATATCCACAAACTCAGGAGCACTCTTGCCCATGAACTCTGCCATGTCGCTTGTTGGTTCATCGACCATAAAATGGTCTGTCTGCTTTTCTTTTCTTTTTTCTTTTTTTTGGACACCACTTCTGACAACATCTCATCATTATCACCCACCTGTCTTTTTTTGCAGAGGGAAAACCATGGCCGATTCTTTCAGGCTTGGGGTCGCAAGGTCAATAAGGCCATGCCAGATATTGTGGTGACTACGAGACACAGCTACGAGATTAGTTATAAATTCAAATGGGCGTGTGATCGATCAGGTTGCAACAGAGTGTCAGTGTTTCAAGCACCCTATTGAACTGACCTCGCTCTTTTTTTTCGTATTGATTGATCTTTCCTCGAGGGGCTGACTTGATTTCTTGTGGGATACACCGACAGATTTGGGAGACATTCGGATTCGATCAAGCCAGAACGTCAAAGATGTGCGTGTGGAGGAAGATTGGTGGCGATTCTAAGGAACGGGAAAGAGGTCGTTGCGCCGGCGACGCCACCATCGGTAACGACACCAAGCAGCCCACCAGACTCGTCTGTGGAGCTGCTGATCGATCTCGATTCGCCGGATGAGTGTACGGACCACGAGGTCCGTCCGGGCCGCTCCTCTGAGCCCTCTTCTCCCCCCTCGACAACCACTTCCACCACCGTATCAACACCGAACCCTTACCTCTCCGAGTTGGAGGAAATAGATCCGGTTCAGTTCCTGAACCCCTATCTTCAGGCTCTCGTCCTCTTCGATCCCGTCCCCTTCAATCCCAACACTCATCTTCTTCATCGTCCTCCTCCTCCTCCTGCTGTTGCCCCTTCTGGTCATCGCACTACTGCCTCCGATCTTTTGGCCGACTAGTTCAACCTTCTCTCCGTCGTCCTCAATCGATCCCTTTCCCTCGTTCTTGAGTGTTCTTGATCTTCATTTCTTGAATTTTTTTTTTGGTGTACTTTTAACCTCTCTATATAAGTAAACAAATAAACCATCAAACCCTTTAAAAAAATACCTATCTACATCTTATGCCTATACCTCGTTTTTTTTTTTTTTTTTTCTTTCTACCAAAAAAAATCACATCCTTCTCATTGTCTATCTTTTTTTTTTCTTGATATGTTGTCTGTTTTACCCTCCCTTTTTTTGTCTCGCTATGTTATGCTTGAATACACATCTTTTCTTTTTCCTTTCTTATTGTTATTTGTTGACCCTCATATACGATACTTAAGATCAATCAGTGAATAAAAATGCCAACAATCTAAGCTTGACTGAAGTCCATCTATGCACTGCGACCTGTGTCTCACCACTCCCTTATACGTGAGGGAGTTTGTTAAGGTAGGTTTGGCTGGGTTTTGCCAGTTCAAGATATGTGTGACTGTGTAGGTCAAATCTTCGAATTCCTGACACAAATGGATGATATTTTATGGGGGTACATAGTCAAATTCGATGGAAACTCGTCTCAAAGGCAGCCCACCACTAGCATCACACTAGTATCATCACAAGTGAAACTACGAGTGCGCCGGGTAAATACTTGTGATGTAGTGGCCCTACCTTCCCTGCAGTCCACACCTGGCCTGAGCCAAGCCTACAACCAGCAAATTTCAAGCCACCTTTGATAGCTGAACATTGTTCGTCTCAAACTAACTTCAGTCTTCCGTTGCATCCATTTTGATCCGACGTTGTGGTCCAGCCTGCAGGATGCTTAATATTAGGCATTGCTTGTTAGCTTTCTCCTTGGTCAAATACCTTTCCCGAACGGCCAATGCCAGGCCAAGCCTATGGACGCCTCCCGATACCATCCATGATATATACCTGGCACCAACAGCTTTCGCACCGTTGGCTCACGCGAGGCCAGCCTTGGACGAAGATGAAAGGCTATCAAAAGCAGCTAGGCTCAATCCGATCGGATACGGGGAGGTTTATCATCAGCCTAGAACGGATTACGGCGCAACCAACCAGGCCCATGATTTGTTGGGTAAGAATAGGCATTTGCATTTTGTGCAACCCAATTCGCATTGTCTTCACTTTTTTTTGCTTCACTTTTCCAGAGACACATTCGGTTCCTAACAAAACCAACCGGCCATGTCTTTCTTTCCTTGGCAGCCGGCACAGTGCCTGACACACCACACCAGTCGGAGCCTTTGACCAGTCGCCTACAATTCAACTCGGCAATCTGGGAAGACTTAGATCTACAACAACTGCATACGCTCATAAGTCAGCCAGGAGATTCGGAAGCTTTTCATCAGCAGGAGAGTTCCTTTCCGGGAGTTGATAATTCGCACCTCGGACAGCAAATCCATGCTTCCGGAGCAGGTAAGTCTTATTCTTGTTCTCCGGTATCTTAGCGGTCTCTTCGGGCCGCACATTTGTAATTTAGGAAGGAGAGCCAACACACAGTCTAACCTAAGCTGTTCTTTTGCAGGCTTTGAGAACAGATACTTGAATGAGGCGCACATGGGAGATGTGAATGAACACCATTACCACTCCTCGCTTGCCCGGCAAACCTTCGATGATCACGGTGAGCTTCTGTTGCAACGCGCTATCACTCCAGCAAAAAATTCACATCAGCATGGCAGATTTACACCCAAATGGACTTGAGTCTCTTCTCGCCCTTTCCTCGTGTGAGGTGGAGCAGGGAAACGTTTTGTTTATGCCCAGTCCTACTAGCACTTCGTACATTCATTTTCTGATGAAAGCTTTCCTGCAAACTGACCAAGGACACACCCACCCCCATAGAAATAGCGAATGTCTCCGATCCGCCACCATACCATTTAGATTTCGACAATTCACATTATTTTAATGACAATGGCTATCAGCAGCTTCTTGATCACAATCGACTACAAGCTCATGGTTTAAGCGCGTCAGTAAGCCCATCAGAGCCTTCGATGGCATATGGGCATGCAGGCCCTTCAGCTCACCTGGCAGATAATCAAGACGATCTTCTGGCGCCTCTGCCACCCCAGATCAACTGGCAACCGCTGGACCACCCTTACCACTCCCCTGTCGAGGAACCCCATTCTTTGCACTTCAACAGCTATCACAATCCAAGCGCAATTGATTCATGGCAAAACGACATCTTCAATGAGTTAGGACATCAATCTAAATCTTCATATCACATTCCATCGCAAGTTGAACATCATTTTCCATCCGAAGTTAGCCATCATCTTTCACCCGAAGTCGGATATTCCCTTCGCTCGGAACACGGAAATCCCATGCTATCGGAGTACGGGCATCCCAATCCGTTGGAACTGGAACCTCCTTTTGAATCGAATTCCGGGCATTCAATCCCACCGGTAATGTCAACAATCCATGACCAACTTAGCCCACAAAGCTTTCCGCCGTTTTCCGCCGATGTGGTTATTCCCCACACCCAAACTGGTTCGCCATTACCGAAGTCTCCAGACATGGCCAATCTATACCCACATTATGATCTCACGCATCACGTCAATGCGGCCAGTCCACACACACAAACCTTTAATTCATTTGAGAGTCATCTCTACAACCCGGGCCAGCATGGCGAAAGCGGCCACCCAGAAGACCTGAATAGACAGACAGCCAATTGGGGTTCAAGCGAGCCAAGTGAGTTGATTCACATGTTAAGATCAAGTCAGTTTTTTTCATCCAAGTCAGCAGTTCTTCATCACTCAAAAAATGACGATAACCTCTTTCACCTGTGTCCAACGTTTTCCCGTTATAAAAGTCCATTCCCCCTCACCAAGAAACGACATAGATTTCCGTAGCCCAGAATCTCTTGATCAAGAAAGACATTATGTTAGCCCGAACAGCCCATCTGATCGTTTTGTATCGGTCGATCAGCCCCCGACTGATCATCCAGATCATCATCTCGTCAACTATGACCCGCATCTTCTGGCACAGGATCGACAAAAATCTGTCGAATCATCAGAACACATCAAAATGGGCGACATTATGAATTTGAAGAGCTCCACGATCGTGGACACTCTCAAGCAATTGGGCAACGAAGTGGAAAGAGTCACCACCATGGAAGGAACGACGATTACAACTCTAGGACATACCGGTCTTATGATGGTCCATCATCACAGTGAGACCGATGGACATCTGTACCTGAATTGGTTGTTTTCCTCCAACATGAGACTGCCTAAACCCAAGCCACTCGGGCTGATTATTTGGCGATTGATCAACGCCATTTGCCATGTAAACCTCCAGGGAGCCAGAGCCGAGAAACGGGAAGATAAGATTGTGATGGAGACCGAAGAGCTGATGAATTTTATTCTTGCTGAGCTCTTCCGACCCCAAGCGCACTATCCGATCTTAGGGAGGGTTCTACAACTAAAGGATAACCCGCTCGATTGGTTTTCAGACACCCAATTCCTATTACTTGAGATGCTTTCCTCGATGCTCTCGCATCCCAACCCTGCTCATAAAGACATTGATACGGTCTTGAATTTCAAAACACCCGACATCGATTTGCTTTCACAATTTGTGTACCTTTGGAACTCCAACCACAATCCGCATTTCCTGCAAGAAAATCTCTCTGTCTCATAGGTTCAAATCTTGTACACTATTTTATTCACCCAAATGAGAATTAAGATCAGCATAATCCAGAGTTTTAAGAATAGAACACTATATGAATCATCCAGATCATCAATTGAAAAGTTTGCAGTTCAGTTGATCATCTCTCAAGAGAGTGGTGAAAATAGTTCTTTCACAGCAAAAGAATTCACAACCCGTTATTTTGGGCTCCATCCAGATTCCAAATATATTCTTCTTTTTCCTGTTTCTGTTTCTTTACACACCCGTCCTCAGGTTAATTAAAAGTAATCAAATCAAACAAAGATTAATAATCCTTTTTTTTTGTTTGTTTCTTGAAATTTCGTCATTTCAACTCATTAAATAAAGTGGTTGACCTTATATATCTCAGGGGCTTGGTTTATAAGGGTAAGTGATCACTACATACATTCAGTCTATGTAGATTTATTCTGCCTTCAGGTAAAGAATAAATCTTCTCATTATATTTAATGTCAAACAACTTGTACATATTTGTTAAAAAGATCACTTTAACTTACAAGAAATTAATCACTTCAGTTTCCAAAATCTTTCACTGGCTACAACCCAACCTGGACCCACCCCGGACCCGCCACTATTAAGATTGGGTCGGGTGTGGTCTTACTTCTGACCCGGGATATTGTGTGGGGCAGGTTTGGGCACTGTTTTGTTGGCCCGAACCCGGCCCACTTGCATCTTGAGTCCCATGCAGGAAGCTATAACATACATACTCCAAAAAAAAAAAAGCTTATTTTGCACTTGCCAAGCAACGTCAAGACGGGTTCCTAATAAAAAATATGTAAGATCATTATAACGCGAGAAAAGTTATTCTTTGGAACTCAGGAACTTCCAGCAAGGGATGCATATTATTTACAAGGTAGAGATAAACTCAGCTTTGCAATCTAGCGTGATTAGTTAAGAACAAAAAGCGGGAAAGGAGTTCTAAAGAAGATCTATGACGAGACGGTTATAGTTTCGAGTTACAGTTATGTATGTACCCCCACCACAGTTTTGGACTCTCAAGTTTTTATAGGCCACTTGATCAGGTTCTCCGTATGGAACGGTGGGGCACGCTGGCCCAGAGGATGACAGGAGATGTACTGATGAATCTGGAGCGAAATGGACTTGTTGATCAGGAACCCTCCCATGAAAATGTTGAGTCAGATGATGTAGAATCCATGCAAGACAGGACGCAGAGTGGGGGAGGGCCCAGATGGATCGAGAAATGCCGGGAGTTCTGGATAAGCTGAGCAGTCACTCACTGGGCCGAAGGCAGACTTGTGTTTGCGAATGGCCTCAGCCCTCCGGTCATCAAGTCATCCACGCTGTATCATCACTCCCTCTTTTTTTTCTTTCCTCCGATAATATAGGCACACTTCTTTTTGTATTATTTATTTTTTTGCTCGGACGAGGTCTCTTCTACCAGCAGTGTAAATTTGTGGATTCATACTATTGGCTCTCCTTTCCACAAGATCTCGATGACCATGTCCGCATGAGTTGAGTTCATGCGTACATACTCTGCATCTTCACTGTCCAGCCTCGTCGGGATCTGAAGATGGGCCTCATCTATCATCACCCCTCTTCTTCAGCTCCACTAGTCTACCAAAAAAAAAAAAAGAAAGAAAGAAAAATGGATGGCTCGATGCACACCATCAATCTCTGGTCCTCTCAGATTGCGAGGAATGTAGTCAGGAGCCTGGTGGTCATCTCCTCCATCCGATGGGCAGCTTAAGCCGTCCTCTCTCTCCTCAGCAGGACCACCTCCACAATTCCCAGCTCCTCACTCCTCCACCAGTCCTTGGATCCTAACCCTTTTCTTTATTTACAAAACTCAGTACGAATACGATCGTCACCCGGACTCACGACGAAGTATTTGAAAAACCACAGCTCCACCCGATATACCGTGTATCAAATTCAACTCCTTCCTTCGTTGCTGTATGGTTATTCAGTACTACTTTATTATTTGAGTGACTACATAACGAGCTTATCATTAACATCGCGGACTGATTGGCAAAGAAAAAAAAACAGGTGCAGGAGATGGCGAGCTCCTCGACAACCGCGGAGCTGTTTGCGACCAACGAATTCGAACGGATGCTACCAGGCTATCTCTTCCTGATCCCATTGCTCACTCAAACCTTCCTCATGAACCCCTGCTACGAGAACTCTAGGAGTGCCAAGCTACTTCGAGCGGCCCTCATGCCCATCACCATCTATCTCACCTTCAGTCGAGTCGCCATCAGACTCTTCTATCCCCTCAATGTCTTCTTCCACTGGAACTTCACCTTCGTCTCCTTTCCTACCTTCCATGCCGTCTGTCTCGCTATCCAGTACGGCCTCTCTCAGGCTCCTGTATTCGCTTCAAAAGAGGAGATGATCAAGGCTGGTAATTATCGAGGTAGACCAGTTTCCTTGTTTCGTAAAATCCCAATTTGAACCCCCTTCAAGTCTGTCCCGGCCGAAAGAGTTTGGGAACTCAATGAGCTTTTGAAGTAAAAAACTGATATCTCCGAATCATCCAATTTACGTTCTTCAGGTGATCCTGATGAGAAGGACGAGAAAGAGAAATCCGAAATTCAGGACAACCCAAATCCTTCCTTCTTGGAGAAGATCAAGTTCACGATTTGGCTACTATTCAGGTAAACCATCGATGAATTATGTCCAATAAATAAATAGCCAGACAAAAAATGGACCTGACCAAAATTCAAAATTCAAAAAAAAACCCTCTGATGACCACAGTCCTCGAGGCCTGCAGACCTCATGGGCGCCCAGTCTAGAAGTGGTCCCACGAGGCCCGAAGATGGGCGCGGGCCTATTCTTCGTATACGTGCTCTTCAAGACCGTCGTCTGCCATTTCTTGATGACGCTTCTCTGGATGATCGGCGTCGAATGTGCTCAACATCCGAATGGGGCGTACGGGGTCGTCGCTGATTGGGTGCCTTCTTTGGGGTTCCTCAGAGATTATCCTCAGTTCGATTTTCTTACGCCCGCTCCACTTGGGGTGAGTTTTCTTTTATATATATATATATATGAATTGTCTGCTTTCCCTCTTTCTAGATATCAGCATCTGAATATTTACTTTGACACAGTGTCACAATTTCTATTTTATTCAAATCTTGGGGCTGAATCTCGCTTTGATTGATTTAATTTATTTTTCACTTTTAGGGAGCAGCCTGGTTTGCAATCGATACGCTGGGCGGAATACTAACTCTTCTGGAGGTGATTCTGTACCAAGTAGGACCGTATGTTCTACCGAAAGATCTAGCGCCAGGGAAATTCGACTCGACCCTGTACCCCCCCTTATTCAACGACCTACACGCCCGCGAGAGCTTGATAGCGTTCTGGTCAAAAGGTCTGTTGTTTGAGACTATGTAACTTCCACACTCTCCAATCAGTCTTTGGACTGATCAGGTTAGCAAGGGAAATATAGGTTGGCATGCTATCTTTCGGAGGAACATCGTCTTCTGTGGCTGGAACCCGATGGAATATCTCTTCTCGTCCTTCGGGAAAGATGCTGCTAAGACGGCCGGCATGATGGGCGGGATGATCTTCAGCGGAATATTCCACGAATACCGTGCGCCATAATATAACCACATTTCTTTTTCTCTGAGTTTGAGATTCACTTAAAAAAAAAAACGGATGGGTTGATTTGGGTTTTCTTGATGGAAATGCTTCTACTAATTAGTAATCGCGGCGGTGTCCAAGATCGATTGGAAGTTCCCGACAGTCTTGATGTTTACTCTCTGTGGACTAGGCATGGTCACGGAGGTCCAATTCAAACGCCGGACAGGACTCCTTGTCAAAGGCATTCCCGGACGTTGGTGGCTGGTGCTTGTGATTGGAGCGGGTGGGAAATACATGGTCGACAGCTGGTCAGTTTGTCTCCTCCCTTCCCTTCCACGATCTCTTTCTCTTTTTCTCCAAGAAAAGAAGCCCGACGAGAAAGTCGGGTCGATTGGGGAACATGGCGGCTCATCGTGATGTTGTTTGATGTCGAAATTAAAACTAATAGGATGGCAAGGGGGCTGGGCAGGAGCGATATGCCGCCGCCCAGACTGTGGACGTGGCCGAGATTCCTGGTTCCGTTCTCGGGATTAATGCCAGAAAGATGGATATCTCGCATTGAATCTTGGGTGCCTTGAGTCGTTGTTCGTTCATCGCCTGTATAGAAGGAGTCTTTTTCTCTATATTAATTATCGGCTTATAACACCAAAAAAAAAAAAAAAAACTGGTGTACTCATTCCACCCCAATTTCATAGTAGATTTACTTTGTATAGTTCTTTATAGCCTTCTTATCTATCACCCTCTCACATCCTGGCCCACAAGTATCAGATCTGTGTACATCAACATAGAGCCCTCTTCACATCATGAAAACAAATACCAATCTCTTCTGCTAATTGTTAATTGTAGCTCAGACAAGATTGCACTCATTGTTTTTCTTTTGGTTCCTTTTTTTTTCTTGTTTTTATGGGGAATAAGATACTTTTGAAAGGGGGTTCCTTAGGGCATTGATCTGGTCTGGACCAAAGTCTAGAATCTAGACTAAGTGGGTAATGTTTGAAGTTGATCAATGTGGCTTCTAGTGATCTAAGCTTGATTTCATTGGTTTGAACATCATACTATAGCCAACACAAAGGAAGTCCAATACATGTCAAGATATCATGATTTCCAAGACGAGGAGAAAAAAAAAAGAACTCTGTCTAGTGATAATCAGAATGATCTGTCAACAAGGAAGTTGAACTGAAGGTAAGTTAGGAAGTCAGTCTGAGAGCATGATGGTCAATTAGGGTATAAACTGACTAGCACCCATATCAAGCCTTCTTGTTAGGTGTTTTTTTTTGTATTGCATTTCTTTTTTTGGAAAGGAAAGAGACAGGCCGGGGCAGTCCCCAAAGCGACTCCAAACCCAGTTTCCACAGAGTATCTTTCTCCCACTAATTGGCCAGCACAGTGTCAGAAGAGCTTCCCAACTCAAACATCCTCTTTCAGTTCCCAGATCCCACCTTGAGCTCCTCAACAGGGAAAATAACATCTCCACCTTAGTGATGAAAGAGTCATCAAAATTCAGCTGACTCCTATTCAACCCGCCAGAGACCCAAAAAAAATCTGAATTCTTTTCCTCTTTGAATCATGAAATTACAAATGGGTGACAGTGTGGACTCCTGTACAGTAGGATGCCTTGCACAACCTGTAGCAACCATGGTGGTGTTGCTATAATTGGCAAAGCAGCCCCCAGTGGAGCTGCTCTTCAGTTTCAGTAGGCCCCAGGATTCAAGCTTAACTAAGCCTCTCTGAGGAGGTGCAAAGTGTCTCCAAAGGACTAGAGGCTTACCTCTGAAGTTGCTTTCTTGGCTCAAGGGAAATGAGTCTTTCCTTGAGAAAAACCCTCATCTTATTTTATTTTTCAAAAATACACGGCTCAGACTATGAAAAAAAGAATAGAGAGAGTTGTAGCCTGCTGAATTGTCCTTCATTGTATTATTTTTTTTTTTCTTGATTTCACAACTTGTTGTGAAGCTTGCTTCCTCCTCAGCACTGTTCCTGAGCTTTGTGAACAGATTTTACAGCACATTTCTTGCCAGGCCCAGAGGGGATGGATATTCACAAGTTTGAAGTGAGTCGAAATATGTTTTGAAGCCCAGGATTTTAATGCTGGAACCCTCAGCATGAGGATCACACTAGAACAGGGGAGTACTGGGTGATTTGGGTGAGGGGAACACTTTTCCTGCCATTTGGCTGCAGTTTGTAGGGTGCGGAGGAATCTCGGGGGACCTAGCCAAGTTCGGTCAAATCAGCTGAACCAGCTACGGCCTTCATGTGATCCCGTCAAGTCGCCGAGCAGCTCACCAGTCTAGGTATATACGCACATCTAAGCGATATGTGAGTCAATTTTCACCTTCCTCATATGCTAGACGGTTGTGGTCGAATCGTCCCAGTAGCTAACTTTGCTGTTCTCGTTTGTCACAGTCGCTTGTTTTTCCTCTCGAGCTTATTTTCGCCATGCTCTGCTTGCCCTCGACCTCAGCGAGAAGTCTTTCCGCTTCCATAACAAAATTCGATCAGTCAAGGCTATCTCGTGCGATGTCGAGGGAAGTACACGGGACCAGATTTGGCGAGCCGCGGAGACCGATTCGAGTCATGGAAGTCTCGCCTCGTGATGGTCTCCAAAACGAATCTGATATTCTTCCCACAGAACTCAAAGTTAAACTGATTGAAAAACTAGTCGATCTCAATCTGAATTCTATTGAAGTTGGAAGTTTCGTGTCTCCTAAGTGGGTTCGTCATATTTTCATGAATTCACCTGGTTTGGATGATACAGATGTGTTGTAATCATTATTTTCATTTTTACCGCAGGTGCCTCAAATGGCTTCTACCCCGGAAGTCATCTCCCATCCCAGTTTGAAGAATGCCAGGAAATCCACCCCTGTTACTTTCAGTTGCTTAATCCCTAATCTCCGTGGTTTTGAAACATTCGAAAAATCAAATTCAAGTTCGGACGAGAATCGGGTTCGAGTTGTTGATGAAATCGCTTTATTTGCTTCTGCCACCGAAGGCTTCAGCAAGGCCAATATCAACTCAAGCATCTCGGAGTCCATAAATAAGATGTCGGAGGTAGCGGGACGGGCCCAAAGGCGAGGAGTGAAGATCCGAGGATATGTCAGCTGCGCTTTCGGTTGTCCATATGAAGGGAAGGTTGATCCGAGGAATGTGGCGTCTGTGACACAAGAACTGCTCGATATTGGATGTTACGAGGTCGCAATATCTGACACCATTGGTGTCGGGGTGCCTCGTCAAGTAGAAGAGTGTCTCAATCAGCTTGCACGATCGGGTATCGATTTGAAACAACTAGGAGTTCACTGCCACGATACGTTTGGAACCGGATTGTCAAACATTTTGACAGCTGTTGAACTGGGCGTCCAGACCGTAGATTCAAGTATCGGTGGGATCGGAGGTTGTCCTTATTCTCCTGGTTCCACTGGAAGTTAAGCACCAATCATCCTGCCTGAGGCATACATAATTTGTTCATTTTTGCCTCTCAAGCAGTCACATTGAAATTGGGACATGATTTCGCCGAAACCAGATATCGCGACGGAGGATGTGATTTATGCTTTAGAGTCTTCCGGTTATCACACTGGCATGATCACCCCACCGCTGAAGCCGGAGGCGGAGCTTGGCAATGATGCCGATTTGTTGCTGCGATTGGAACCTCTTGCGAGAGCCGGTGCGTGGATCAATGCTCAACTCCGCCGAGACAATTCGAGCAGAGTTGGTAAGGCTGTCCTGGCAAGAGCGCAAAAACGTAACATGAAAGAGAACGCAAATCAATAATCCTTCCATCGAAAACTTGGTGCAGTTTAAAAGAATTGCATGTCGTTGAAGCCTAAGTAAAACGCAAGTGATAGTGTTCTCTCTTACTGCGACGCATATGTGCCATGTAGTTTTATGGCACATCATAATCATATTTTCCTCATGATGTCAGAACTGCTACTCATCCGCTAGTTTTCCATGTCAGTACTTCTTGTATTCTGTACCATTATTGTTCCTCATCAGTTGAAGCAATTCTTTCGCTTGTCATTTTTATATGTATTTATTTATTCTGGTGTACAGTTAATCCTGGATGTAGCAGCAAGGCTCGTTAAGTTTACCCTTATGCTAATTGAAACTGGACAGAAATAGCAAGTTTCAAACGATGAGAGCGGCTCTTTGCGCAACTTAGATTCAGATCACTAGTTCCCCCACTTCGTGTGTGATTGGCCTTGATCGGCATCCTTTCTGTATCTCCTTCTTATCAACGTAGTGTTCAATGCCAAATTTGAATAGGTTTGTTGGTATTTCAAGATTTCGGATAAACCAGTCTCACTAATCTATTTTACGTATTTGTTGGTTTTAAGTTTCATCAAGCACACCGTACTTCACTCATGCTTTGCTATGAAGAACGTGCATTGTTTGTCGCCAACCTTTTGACCTAAGCACACCTTTTCTTTTGAAATGATCACTTTTGTTTCTTGTGTCTTGCACCATGGGAAGGTTGCTCTTCCCTTATGATGCCATTTCTGATATTGCACGTAGCAATTGGGATTGGCCTGTATCTCACTAAAACACCTAGCAAGCAAGTTACTAGTACTACCATCATGAGGTGTAGTTGCTACAAGCTTCCATGGACCTTCTACTTTGTGTCAGACAGTACACCTGATGAATCCAATACGATTTCCTTCATAAGTAGACTCATTGACACAAGTTATGCGTATTTACATAAGTAAATAAATCAAGTTTCAGTGCACAAGTTCAAGTGAAAGTATAACGGCCTACAGCACAGCTTATAAGACCTTTTGGCTTGCTTCGTATGTCTACGACTCCCCTGTTACTAAACCCGCACAGTCACTCCAGAACGTAACCTTGTCCTTTCAGTTGAACTAAAATATAGTACGGAATGCGCCAACCAATATGCTGTTTTCTTTTTCTTCATCCCCTGGCGCATCACTTCTTCGCTAGTATCTCTGCCAGACCTACCTTTCCTGGCGTTTATGACCCACCTTTCTTGGCTTCTGGCGCTGCTCGATTTCCCGGTGATTCACTAGATAGCTGTGGTACTTTAGATAGCATGTGGAAGCGACCAAGAGTCGACAACCCTGGAACATCATTTCCTCATGGCGATTCCCCTCTATCACCCGAGCAGGATGATAGGAATCTTCCTAACGAACGTGAGGTACGATCAAACCTTCTGAGTTTAATTCTCTTTTTTTTTTTCAAGGCCTGATGGCCTGCCTTTGGTATCTCTAGCACGGCAACCACGATTCTGGCCTCCTTGAATGCGTCGTTGGCCCTTCATTTTCTGGTAGGCCCTCGAAGCTTCCGAAGCTTACGACGGAGTATCCTTTGGAAAATATGGGACAAGTCTGGCAATCCATGCCCTCGGAGCAAGACACAGGTCCGCAGCAAAGAATGCATCTTTTTATTGCAAACTTGCGTTTTACGGCAAATGTTTAAATATGTACTCTGAACTTTCTGATCACGCACTTTCTTTTCTCCGGAAAAAATTACCTTTATCGATTGATAAGGTCTGCTCGAAATTAATTTCGAACCAGAAACTCAGGAAGAACACGAAAGCATTTGGGAATGGGACGCAGCTCAAATTGAGGGCCTTCTAGGTGAGTGACCAACAGTTGACCCCCTTTGAAAAGAGAAAAAAAAAGTTTAGGCAAATGAACACGTCTGGCTTGTGCTCCCAATCCTAGACAACCTTTTCGACGATGGAGTGAATTCGATTCATCATTTTTGGAGAGATCCGCATCAAGAAACATTGGATTCTCTGGCAACCAGTTCTCGATATGATCAAGTGACACCCTCCAGTGTCCTTTCTTACCAGGTCAGTTCTCTACTCAAAAATTTGTGCCAGCAACTGGCATTGTCGCTGTCATCTCATCCTCTGGATCATTTTTGAAAGACTGGAGGTCATGCTCTAGATTGGGATAGTCCAAGGATTCTCCATTCACCCTTGGGAAGTCACCCTGTTCATCAAAAAGCAGTTGGAAGCTCAAACAATGAGAGAGGGGAACCTAATGCAAGTGTTTTTCCGAAATACGGAAATGAGATGGGTGTTGTGCCTGGAATGCCGATTGATCCGCCTGGATTGGGCTACCCGAGCACCAAAGATCAACATAACATACCCTTTCTATACAGTTGGTCCGAGCCAATTACAACAGTTCATCCCCTTGCAAGCCTAGGTGAGTAAATCTTAATTTCCCTCGAGTCTCTTGAAACACGACCAAAAACCAATCTCGTCTCCAAATTCTGGCACTACTGTTGGTTAAAGACTCTCCCGAACATGCAGTTTCTCAACTTGAAGGCTTAGCTGGCACCTCTAAACCTTTTCACACAAGTTGGATTGATCCACACTTTATCCAGGGTCACTTGGAAAAGTTTGTAGAAACCCTTAATTTCATGATCAAAACAATGAAATCCGGAAAACCAAATTATGATCCACCTTGGGTGATACTTCATCATGAACAAACAACAGTAAACCAAGAAACCAAGGATGTCATAACTTCCACCAATGAAAATAGCACAATTCTCTCTTTGGTACCAAACTTACCTTCCTCGTTCTTATATTTGGTCACCCATATAATTCACTACAATGTGGCCCTACTTGACAAAATGCATTCAAACCTGGATTCTGTAAAAGACACTGAAGATCTAATATTTTGGTTGAGGAACTTGATTTTTTGGCGCTCCACACAAAATTTCATCAAGGATGGATTTGAATTGCCCGGATTTCCTGGTGATACAGGTTTTGGAGATCTACCAAAACAATTGCATGTATATTTTGCTAATTATAGAATTGATGGAAAATTTCTTCCTAACATTGTCTTCAATATCATCAATGTTTGGCATAGCCATAAGCCTGGACTTGGGAAAAAGCTTTTTGGAAGTCAAGAAGCTCAACGTGTTGCCCAAGAGATACTCACAGACAAGGAAATCAATGCAGACGTTATGAATTCCATCTCACAACTCCTAGCTCAACCATTACAACTGGGCAATCCAAGTCCATTCACCTCAAATTTGAAACATCACTTGGTATTCTGATCATTTCAATTCACTTTACTATCTTTTTACTTCATTCAATTCATGGGGATTCCATTTTCTACTTTGTATGCCTTGGTTATTTCATTATTCATAACAAGTAGAGAAAAGTTTAATACATACCCTTTTTCAATAGAATCAGCATAAAAATTACAATGCCTCGAGAAGATTTCAAGAAGAAGCAACCCTTGTTTGATTTCTTTTTGATATTTTTTTTACATCTTATACATATATATACTGCCTTACAATATAATGCACACAGACAAGGCCTTGTAAGGAAAGAATTCAGGTATTCAATAGCTCCCAGAAGCACTCAAATTCAATGCATATGAGTCAATAGTCATATTTCAGTCTTTCATGGGTGCAGAAACATATGTGCTCATATGTATCAATCTGGCATCACTGAGATCATCAATGTTGTCAATTGTGCCTGCATCTACTCTGTAGCATCTCAAAGATTGACAGTCTGTCTATGGTGGTCCCTCATGAGATGTGACATATTCTTGAATAATTACCGGACCTGGCTGTGGAAATAATGAGTCCGATCAGTTCTTCCTCAGCCGGGCGGTGCAATCAGTCGGAGAAAGTCCGTCCATAATTTCACGCCGGCAGTCGGAGCAGCACACTTCATAAGTGTGCAGTCCAACATCCGCAGGCGCCTTGTCGGACTTAAGCACACCCGATGGGGAACGTTAAGCAAGCTGAGGAGAATCACAACTCACTGCAGAACCCCAGTTGTGTAAGGCATTTGCCTCGGCAAAGGCCATATCACCGCCAGAAGCCATTTCCATCCGGTAGCTGTATACAGGGGGCAGAATCCATTGCCTGGCATCGGCCAAGCTGACGTAATACTAACATTTGGATTAATAGTCTTGAACAAGGTCACTTTTCTCGTCGTGCCGAGGCATCCATCCAGACACGATACATCAAATGAAGCATTTATGTATGTCTCATACTCATAGCTTTCCACGTATGGATCCGATGCACGGCAAGAGGCAAAGCCAACCGGCCGGTGAGACCTGCATCCATCACGGAAACCGTGAATGACCTACGAAGACGTTGATTAATCACGTTTCGAATTCCAGCGCACTTGATATAATATATGGGACTTCCTCACCGCAATTTCAAGTTAATCCACGATCAACAGGCCCCAAAAACTGAAGTCACTGTCTTTTCAGCTCTCAGAGAAATTGAGACAGAATGCACCAGATATCTCCCTCGCATCTCCTCTTACAACTACTAGCCTCGCGTTTCTTTGCTAGCGTAACCGCTAGGCCAATTTTCAATGGTTCTGATGAGAGCGTTCTCTTAGCTTCTCAGATTTATCGTGTCCGCCCTGAAAGTGTGGAATACTTTGTCGCTTCACGTAGAGCCATGAAGCGAGCGAAGTATCATCCCGTCGACGGACCAGGGAGTCTAGTGTCACATGTTTCGCCGCGATCACACGGGCAGGTGGGCAGGGAACATGATCTTTTCATGGCAAGTGATGCATTTTCTGCTTTTTTCACTTTTTTTTCAGCGCACTAGCTTAGATTTTGTTTCTGTAGCATGATGATGAACATTCTGGCCTGCTTCAAAGCGTAGTTGACTCTTCATGCTCAAGGAGGCCTGCAAATCCTTCAGTAATTGAGACTGGTTACTTGGGCAAAGAGTTTGGGGAAGTCCACGTCCCCAGGGTGCAACAAAACTCTCCTGAAGGTATATTTTATATTTCTCTGTTTTTGTCCAAACTGAATTCAACCGAAAATAAACTGGAAAGTAACGTTTGGGGTTTATTCATTTCTGTGTCACAACTGGTTATTATCAAAAAACTTGAATGGATTGTAAAACATGTGGGATTCAAAAACAGTCAAAATCGATGAATTTCTGGGTGGGTGATTGTGGCAATTCTGTAGTGCTTATTGCGCTTGCTCCATTCATCACATAAAATCTCAGACGTTGAAATAAAAACATCTTGGTTCACTCCTATCTAGGAAAACCAACATTAAGACATGGTATCGATGTAAAAGGCCAGCTCTACAAAAACGCCGATGAAAATGAAGTGAATGCTCCAGAATCGCACAACAGCTCTACATGCAATCTTTCTGGTCAGGTCAGTTGCATTTTAAAAATTCCCTCAATGCGCTGATGGTACCAACAACACTCTGTTTTTCTGCATATTCTTGTTAAAAGACCACAAGCCAGGTACTTCACATGGACGGCCCAAGCCTACATTCATCTTCTGTGAATTCAAATTTAAGTCCTTCCAGACCTCAAACAACTTCTTCAAGCGGCGATGATGAAAAGCGAGAGTCAGTTATGACTCTTTGGCCCCCTAACACGAGTAATCATATTAGTGTTGCGCCTGGGGTACAAAATCATCCAGGATTGGGGGCTCTTGATCCCAGTATAAGGGGATTGAATTTGATGCAGACCGATCCAAGTCCACAAGTTTATCCCACTGAAACTCAAGGTGAGTGAGGAATTTCTATCTGAAGTTAATGGTGGCCTAGCTAATCATCTGTGTGTAATATGTCAAATTGAGGAAAAGGTCCAGGTGAATCTACTCCATTACAATATGTTCCAATTGAAAGTTCAATTAATCAACACCTTCCAGAAAACCTCGCGCCATTCCCAAACCAAGATTTAAACTTTGAGACATCGCTTCCGCAACTTGTTCAACAGAAAAATCACGGACATGCACCCAAACCTGTGTTCGACTCCAACACAGTCATCCTCCAGGAATCTTTAAACTTTGCCAAATTGGGTGAGAATGTAGTAGAAGCAATCAGAACAAACGTTGGTGGAAAGAGACCGCTGCGTATTGAACCGTATCAATGGTTGCCCTGGGTGATCTATGAAGTTCCAGAAGAAAATAATGAAGCAATTTTGGTCAAGTGGATTCTTAATCAAGAAACAGGTTCACCTTACCCTCTAGAAGATCTGGCCTTGTCATACTTATATTTGGTTTCACATATAACTCACTACAATATTGCTCTCATGAGGGAATGCAATAAGTATCATGTGGGGCTGGACAATGCTATCAAGAACACCCTAGAGCTGCTCAAGTGGTTGAGTGACCTGATTTTTTCCTCCTCTGAAAGTAGCTCTATCCTAGGGGCTTCTAATCATCAAGGTGACCATAAGGGTGAAAATATTGATATACTTCAGATGATGTTGGTCTATTATTTGTCCAACCGCAAAGCAGATACAAGTCTTTCCCCAAGGGTGGCTGCAAATGTCATTGCTTTTTGGCATCATCAGGATCAACAACGTTGGGAAGCACTCTTCCAAAACACCAATAACATCTCCCTTTTCATCGATAGAATGATCCAGGACAAGAAAGTGGAATCAGACATCCTCATGGCAATTATGAAAAATAAAGATTTGCTACCTCAAGATACTAAAGCAAGGATGTTTGAGAGGGAGAGAGCTTCAATAAATTCACAGGCCTGACGAAATACTACTTAAGTAACCATTTGAAGACTGGATCTATTCATTTCCTATTTGCATGTTTCTGTTTTGGTTTTTCAATTTTTTGTTTGGTGGTTTGAAATAAGAAAACAACAAAAACACAGAATCACACTTAAATGAAATGAAATTCAAAGGACTCGTCAGATATCAGGATTTATCATATTCTACTCCAGATTAATTATCAAATAAATACTTCCACAGCTCAGTCTTTCATATTTAAATTGATCACTAAGCTACTTTTTACTTTTTTTACTTTTCACCAGCAGTGACATTGCAATTGATCCTGAATTAATTTCAACTAGTGTCTAAGGGCGGCTTCGCCGCCGGTTTATTTCTAAAAGTGATATAATACATTTTATAGTATTACTATTTGACAAAAACTAATCTAAATCCATGCATACCCCTAAGCTATGAACTGGAGTAAATAAATGTTTATTCACCACATTCACTACTTTCTCCTCTCCTCCAACCTGGGTAACTATTTAATAGATTTTGGACCTGCCTCACCCTTGATAAGCCTACATACAACTGACCATGCACAAAAGTTTGACTCTCCAAGACTAATTCAACACAATCCATGCTTTGTCCCTGACATTTTTTAATTGTCATGGCAAATGCCAAAGCCATGGGGAACTGATATCTGTAGAAAGAGAATTTGAATGTTGATTTTCTTTCATAAAGTAATGTAATCTTGGGTATTAAAACACTTCGATCTGCCTTTAATGGTCCGCTCAAAATTCTTCCACACAGCAACTTTTGACTAAGCCTTTCAATAACTAACCTGGTCCCATTGCATAGTCCTTGTGAAATTCCTAAATTTTGAAGTAACATTATGGGAGCCCCAACCTTAAACTCCAAATCATAGTTTGGGAAGCCGGCGATGTCTAATTGATTCAATGCTTCTATTGCTATTGCCCCTTCTGTGCTGTCATCGGGCCTGTCAATTGCAATCAAAATTATTGCCTCTGAATAAAGATTTCTTATCATAGCGTTATGGATTTTAGCTGCGTGACGTCTGTGTTTAGTGTGGTCAAAATCACACTTTCACCCAAACACTTAGTGTAGAAATCGTAATTTTGGTTGATGTTCAAACTTAAATCCCTGGAATAAAAGACAAGTTAATATTGTGGGTATCTGCATCGATTTTAGAAGAGAGGATCAAGGAAAGGATGCCGGATTGGGTAAAATGAGGTCCATAAGAATAGGAACACGACTGACCGTTCCACACAGAAAGCCGAGAAAGAAACATTGGTTTTAACTAGCTCTGAGATCAAGGGGTAATGGATATAGTAGTTGAACAGAATCACCTGTTTTAGGGTAATTGAGAGAAGTAAAGTTGTTGATTGAGAGGAGTGTTAATTGGATATGGAAAAAAATATTGGGCAAAAAATGCTACCACTGTGGCTGTGTTGTGTGGAACCTGAAGAAGGCAAAGAGTATGGTTTCAGGGAGTAAGGATAGGGCTGCGGGGGGTTGAACGGCAGATTTATCCCATTTGACAGGTTCCTCAAGGTACAATTAATTTCCTCTATCAGAAGCCAAGACGGCTTCCGGAGCTTCTTTGTTCACATGATGACCAAGTCTGGTGGAAAAGAACAATAGATCAGAAAAGGTTGGCCAGATCCTTGAAGATTTTAGAGTCGCTGTGAGAACTCCTTTGGGATGGATGGCAGTCCTGCGAGGGGGAAATAGCAGTTATGATATTTCAGGTATGTATGAATTTATTACAACTGTTATGGGTGGTTTGAAAGACCTGCCCCTCTAATGTACTACACTAGAATTCTGACAACAAATATATTTTATTGTTGTGGCAAAAAAAACTGATGATGGAGAAAACTATATGTAGTAGTCTCTTATCAAACCTAGATCAACGTGGAATCAGCTTGAGACTTAGTGGAATTTTGAGTTGAATGGATTTGGCGTGGTTTAAAGTCAGCTGGAATCAGATAATGGAAAGATGTAAACAAGCTGGGAAATATTTTTGTATGTTTTTATATGTTTATATGAGTGAAGTAAAGTAAATGTTGATATGAGAAAAGGACTGAGATGAAACTGATGATAAATATGAACTATTCAAAGTGTCTTTGCCCTCCTCCTTAACCTTCAGTTAAGAGAACAAATGGGTTAAGATCACTTTGACTTGTTAAGAGCACAAGGGGTGATACTTGCTACTTGACTTCTTCTATGCTTCCTGAGGTATGAAAGATGTTAATGGGCCACCTGATTGAGATCACACTGTTGGATTTTACCTTAATTTGATTTGAAGACTCTGGGTGAGATGTATAGCTTGGTAGATGTGCCGGATTGGCATGAGGAACTGATCTGAGGAGGGAGAAATGACCTCCTTATATAGTAAATTGTGAGGGATTTTAGCTAGTGAGGATGTCCTGTGAGGGATTTATGCTGGTGTGACTTCTTCTTTGAGGGATTTTAGCTGCTTGGAAGCTTCTATTGAGCCATTTTTGCTGGTGTGTCATGTGATCTGCACTGCCCCATACAGAAAATCACACGTGTTGCGGAATGTTCTTCCTATGTTGAGGCATTTTTGCTGGTCTGTTGTGAAAATACGTGTGATCCAAGCGTGTGGCTGGTGATGTCATGTGAAAATACGTGTGATCCAAGCATGTGACTAAACATGTGATCATACATATGCCTGTACAAACAAAGATTGCAACTATGCACTTATATATAAATCTATACTATGTACTACCCAAGACAACTATACTACAGTTGCGTACGGCATAGACCGACCATGCCCCGCCCGCAAAATCCAAATTGGACACGCGGGGCCTATGCCCCGGGGGGCATGTGCCCTGATACTTAATTTTATTACAATTTTGAACTTCTACAGATGTGTAGAGTTCAAAATTGTAATCACCAAGGTTTTGAGTGAGTAGTTCAATTTTTTTTTCATTTCCACATACATATAATCGGACATGCACAGATTAAGCCATACTTAAACCCATAGTTATGGCTTTAAGTGATACATAAACATGGTTTTATACTACTTGTACACCCTCACCATCTACTTTCACCGTTAATCTACTATTCTAGTGTACTTTTTCTACACTCTGGAGGCTACAAACAGCTCAAAAGGCTGAAAATTTCAAAAAAAATCTGAAATTTTTGGCCCGACTATTCGGACATCCTGAAAATCCAGGGTCGGTTTTTGCCGTCCGCAACTGTATACTGTAGTAAAAAACTGATTTATCAAATAACTTTTGACTGAGTGGAGCTAGCCTAGTGGTTCCAGTGAGTGACTATGGGTTAAATGACCTGTAGAATCTATTGAAGTAATAATAACACCAAGAATATAGCCTATTATCAAGAGTGGATCATGACTTTATGCAATTTGGTACTTGAAACACATTTGGCACACTACATCGCTTCTTCTGATCTTGAATATACCCC